TCAGCTGTGTTCACTTATGGGGCAGCTGTGTCCACTTATGGGGCAGCTGTGTCCACTTATGGGGCAGCTGTGGGGTCACTTATGGGGCAGCTGCGGGGTCACTCATGGGTCAGCTGTGAAGTCATTTATAGGGCTGCTGTAGGGTCGCTCATGGGGCAGCTGTGTCCACTTGTGGGGCAGCTGTGTCCACTTATGGGGCTCTTGTGGGGCCACTTGTGGGGCAGCTGAGTGCACTTGTGGGGCGCCGTCACCTGCGAGATCTCGAGGCAGGGCAGGCGGCCGGCCTGCGCCCCGGTGAAGCCGTACACCGAGTTGGCGCTGACTTTGAGCGCCAGCTGCCGGCCGTCCAGGACCTGGCGGCGGAACGGATCGACCTCGCGGGACAGCGCCTCCTTCGCCCTGCCAGGACCCACGGACCAGGGGAACCCAAAGCACATCAGGAGCCCACAGGGACCCCAAACCCCGTAAGGACCCCATAGGGACCCCACAAAGAGCACAACCCCATAGAGACCCCATAGGGACCCCAAACCCCATAAAGACTCCATAGGGACCCCACAAAGAGCCCAACCCCATAGAGACCCCATAGGGACCCCACACCCCATAGAGACCCCTGACCCCACCCCATAGGGACCCCACAAGGACCCCTGACCCCATAGGGACCCCATAGGGACCCCAGACCCCACAAAGACCCCTGACCCCATAGGGACCCCACAGGGACCCCATCCCCCACAGAGACCCCTGACCCCACAGGGACCCCATTCCCCACAGGGACCCCAGACCCCATAGGGACCCCATAGGGACCCCATCCCCCACAGGGACCCCACACCCCATAGGGACCCCATAGGGACCCCAGACCCCACAGGGACCCCAGGCCCCCACTCCCGCCCACCTGCGCCGCGCCGCCAGCAGCCCCTCGAGGATTCGGGGCAGGAGCCCCCTGCGCACCTGGGCCGTCACGAACTCGTCCCCCGTGGGGGTGCGGATGTAATCCGTGGGGCCCAGCCTGGGGGGGGGCTGCTCAGCACCCCATAGAGCCCATACAGCCCCATAGAGCCCATACAGCCCCACACAGCCCCACAGAGATCCCATAGAGCCCCATAGAGCATCATAGAGCCCATACAGCCCCACAGAGCCCCACAGAGCCCCAAAAGTCCCATAGAGCCCAAAAAGCCCCATAGAGATCCCATAGAGCATCATACAGCCCCACAGAGCCCCACAGAGATCCCATAGAGACCCATAGAGCCCCACAGAGCCCATACAGCCCCACACAGCCCCACAGAGATCCCATAGAGCCCCATAGAAATCCCATAGAGCCCCAAAAGTCCCATAGAGCCCATACAGCCCCACAGAGACCCA